CTGCATAGGGGTTTCTAACAAAAAACAATCTGATTATGGTACCTTGCCATAAATAATCAAAGTCCCTTTAAATGGCTTTAAACCGCCCTTGTGCTTTGCTTACATTAGGTTAATTAATTCTCCAAAGTCTTCGTCAGCCCATTGACAGATTGCCAACTTGTTTGACTTCTCCTTACAGCAGATTTAATTAAATGGGCGGACATTTTTGTTCATAACAAATGGTTTGTTTCCCTGTAGACTGATGTTCAAGATGAAATACTGATTCTCCATCTCTGGCGTTGATGTTTATATTCATGTCACTTTCAGTAGTCCTCTGTAATAAAGACAAAGGACTGACATTCCTCCAACACAGTCTGTTTAATGGTTGACTTGCACGTAAATTAGATGCATTGAAAATCTTTAGGCTTTCTTTTGCTGCATCTATGCTGCAAGTGCCTCACGTTTACACACATAGACATGTTTGTTTTCATCAATCCATCATATTGACTAATAACTTGATCAGTGACCACAGCAGGTAATACTCCGCTATAATGTCACACGAGCTGTTGTTCCAAATATCAACAAGGCTGTTTTTCGCAAGCAACACTAAGAGTCCTACAATCAGTGGTTTTGAATAAATAGTTTAGGTGAATTATTGATGACAATGGCAAAAAGTACCCGGATGACCTACTACTTTTGGTGAAACTTTGAAGTGCACAGCCAATGGACACTTCACTATCCCATGAGGCCGAGAGGAGTTGTGAATGGCAGTGAAGCAATGAAACTGATGCTGGTAGGTCACATGAAATGACAACATGCCAAATGTATGTCCAGAATAGATTCCTGCTATGCACAATCATACGTTACACAACAGTATTTAACAGTTTCAAAGTAATGACTTAAAAAGTAGGCTACCTACTCAGAGAGTATGTGATTTTGGACACAGCCAATGACTCACACAACTTGTTTTGTTCCTGAAATGAATTACTATTTTAAACAAATTGGTTTGAATGATTCAGTGTCTCACTCAAAAAGTTTAGTGTAGTTTACTTCTTATATAGCACATTTCTACTGCCACAAGAGCAGCCCAAAGTGCTGTACAGTACAATCAAGAAAACCAAACAAGACAATAAACAACATCATAAAAAGAAACTGATATTTAGGACTCTACTACATCCGACTCAAAAGCCAGTATATAAAGGTGCTTCTTCAAAGACGTTTTAAAAGTGATCAGTGCAAGCAACACTAAGAGTCCTACAATCAGTCGTTTTGAATAAATAGTAGGTGAATTATTCAATGACTCAGTAATAACGAAAATTACTTGTTTTGTTCCTGAATAAGTGCTTTTAAACATATCGGCTGATTAAATAAATCAATGGCTGCATACGTATATCTATACTTTCCCTCCTATATAGTAGGGGAAAAAAAACAGTATGTGAAACATTTTGTTTACAATATTCATAAAGAAGTAGACAAAAAGTACCCGGATGACCTACTACTTTTGGTGAAACTTTGTGCACAGCCAATGGACACTTCACTATCTCATGAGGCCGAGAGGAGTTGTGAATGGCAGTGAAGCAATGAAACTGATGCTGGTAGGTCACATGACAATGACAACATGCCAAATGTATGTCCAGAATAGATTCCTACTATGCACAATCATACGTTACACAACAGTATTTAACAGTTTCAAAGTAATGACTTAAAAAGTAGGCTACCTACTCGGAGAGTATGTGATTTTGGACACAGCCAATGACTCACACAACTTGTTTGGTTCCTGAAATGAATTATTTTAAACAAATTGTTTTTTAACTCAAAAAGTTTAGTGTAGTTTACTTCTTATATAGCACATTTCTACTGCCACAAGAGCAGCCCAAAGTGCTGTACAGTACAATCAAGAAAACCAAACAAGACAATAAACAACATCATAAAAAGAAACTGATATTTAGGACTCTACTACATCCGACTCAAAAGCCAGTATATAAAGGTGCTTCTTCAAAGACGTTTTAAAAGTGATCAGAGAGGGGGCAGAATGGATAGCTAAAGCCAAGTTATTCCATAACAGAGGTCTGGCTATCGAAAAGGGCCCATCACCTTTCTGCTTAATTCGGGACCGCGGTACCTGCAGCAACAGATTATCAGCAGATCTCAGATTCTTTACTGGCATAATAGGACCTTAAAATCGATCCGATATCTAACCAGTGCAGGGATGTTAAAATCGGAGTGATTCTGTCCCTCTTTCTCATACCGGTCAGTAATCTAGCAACAGCATTTTGAACAAGCTGCAACTGATTTACCAATGACTGAGACTGAGAGGTACTTAGTTGATGCACTATGTAGTATGCATGTAGTATGTACCTCTATGTAGGGCAGAGGTTCTCAATTCTGGCCCTTTCCTGCAGGTCCAGTCATCCTGAATTAACCCTTGAGGTTAACTTTCCAGCAGAGTTTAGCTCCAACCCTAATCAAACACACCTGATCAAGCTAATCAGCATTATTAGGAAGTTACAAGCAGGTGAGTTTGATCAAGGTTGTAACTAAACGCTGCTGGAAAGTCAACCTCGAGTTGATAACCCCTGATGTAAGGTTAATTCAGGATAACCGGACCATTTTTTTCCCGTCATCTCAATGGCAATTGGCAAAACATGTCCCAGTTTACTTGAATTCACCCTACTCAACCAGCGGAGTGTTATACCCCCTCCAGTATTTAAGGAAAGCTGTGACAGTTGAGTGTATAAAGTGTCCAATTTTCTGTGTGAGCACGCTCATTATTTTTATCGTAAAATGGCATAAAATTGTGCAAAGTGGGACGCACCTCTTGTTTCATTACTAAAGAATCAGTGCATTTAAACGAATCGTTTGACTGAATGAATCTCTGTCTCACCAAACTTGTTTAGTTACTGAAAGAATAGCGTTTTGAATGAATCATTTGACTGAATGATTCAATGACTCACTCATAAAGTCACTTGTCACCATCTACTGCCATTTCAATGTTACCTGCAGAAAGGCTCACTAAAAATCTCAATCGCTAATGCATGGATCTAATCCTGGGTTTAATCTTTAATTTAATTTAAACTAAGAGGTGTGCATTTGTTTTATGAGACTGCCCTGAATTTGACCTGTACAAGTATAAGCAACGTAGTCCATCCTTGACCTTGGCCATACAGTAACATCGTCTTCAGAGAAATGGCCTTCACACATTTCCTAAATATGTTCACTGGCAGAATTGCAGTATTAGTTAGCTCTTATTCTATTACTCAAAACAGAGCATGCTAAAAGTAATAGCCTACTACTACTACTTTTGATGGTGATATGAAGAAATTGGTTAAAGGCTATTGTAAGCATCCAGTTAGCCTCAGTTTCCCCCAAAATTGTGTTGTTTTGGGTCATCTTCAACTGTAAGAACAAAAAGCAAACTCTGACTTTCAGTTCAGCATTTTATAGATCTGGCAACCCAAGGTACAGCGAGGGGATAAGACTTCAGTAGAGATTGGCTTCTGTTCAGCTAGATGTTTATCTTATTCCAGGACCCACACTGAACATGTGCTGAATGGTAGAACAGGTTTACATCTGCATTCATGAAAGCGAGATTATTTAATCCCAGTTTCCATGAAAATGAACCAATCATGTTTTCTGAGAACTGTCATGTGGTACAGTAGATACTGTACAGTACATGTGGTGAGATGCATTACTTAATTGGGATTTTCTGAATACTGAAAACTTTAATACCAATTTTATTAACTGGGTAATTTTCCAATCGTATAATGAATCGGACTGTTTTTCTGATATCTATGACATAATAGCCAAAAGCAATTTGTGTGCCCTTGTCTTGCATCGTTGTACTTGAGCACAGACAGAAAAGGCACAGAGTTCAGACATTATGTGAGCAAAAGGACACTTCCATGTTCATTCAGGAGTGAAAAGTGACATTATGGTTTATTGTTAATAGCCTATATCTTATATCACTTTATAGTATTAAATAATTATATTATTATTTAATGTACTGTAATAATCTTTTCAATTGAAAGCATAGAAAGCATCCAATCAGACAGAACAATATAGTGACAAAGTGTGGAAATATACTTAAAACAGAGAGTGGTACCAGAGGGAACCTGCATTTCTCAAAAACAAGTCCAAATGTCCTAAAGTTTATTACGCTGTACAAAAAATAATAGTACATGGATATATTGTATATGGGACGTTAGAACAACGAATGAACGTGGCTGTTAAAGCCACTTTCATCTAGTAAAACAGATACATGTTATTGTAAAGCCACACATACTTTTACATTTAGAGGCACATTCATTCCTCCCTAGTTTAAGCCAGTCACGGTAGAACCATGTCCAGGTGAGTTTCTTTTTACTTTTGTTTTACACTTTATATAACAAGCAACGTTTTTCACAGTGAACAGTTTTAGCTGTCAAAATTGACATTGGTTCAGCAAGTGGCCAAGAAAGAAAACAGTATTCTCACTCTCAATACAAAAACTGATCAAATAGAAACATTCTGTCCTCTAGTGGTTCATATGCGCAACCTAATCTAACATGAAAATAAATGAGGTTGACTTTTGGCGTTATTTCAATTATCAATTTAATTCTGTAAATGTATTTGATGCATGTATGTGTATCAACTAATCCAAATCTTCCACATATTTGGTCATTTGTGGCTGTAAAATATAATCCAATTATTCCATATTTATGACCAACACATGTTGGCTTTAACATAACCAAATATTTAATTAGTCATAAATAAAATATTACTGAACAATGGATAGCCAATCTCTTCTCTTCAGTCAAGTCATCCTATCTGTCTCTATCAGCCTCGCTTTGCTTGCTGTGTCCGTGCCTGGAGAGCATTTTCCATTGATCAATCTTATTTATTTATTTTTCAATTTTGGACTCGTGCGAGAAAAGGGGTGTATATATATATATATATATATATATTATTTTTTTGGCATACACATTTTATACTCGGTTGCTGTATGTTTGCATGTGTCTGTCATAAGAGAGAACCTTGCCAGTTTATAAGCATATTGTACTTGCTCTGAAATTGCGATATGCAAACATATGCTGATGATAATATGATACGTTACTGTTAGTTTGAGGGGCAATTGCATGAAACAAGGACTACGTAGAGCGTTAGACTGAAAAGATGCAGAGAGGGAGAGGATGCAGCTCCCACTGAAGAAGTTTTTCGTGCTTGCTGGTGAGCTCGCGTGTAGCAGAGCGCACGGAGAGCGCCCACGCAACACTTCCACGCGCCACAAAGCTTTGTAAATGAACGCATCCTCACGCAGGAGCCGCTTTATCTTTAATAGCAACTGAAATGAAAACAGTTCTATATAAAATAAAATAGAAACTGAAAAGACGTCACGCTCATATGGACTATAATTTGATGACATTTGTGCACGAGCCGGTGAGTGTCGTTTTTGTTTTTCAAACTTCAGATTTGACTTCCAGTGGTGTCAGTGCTTTTCATGTATTATTTAAGAAAACTATTTTCAGTGTGGGCATGCACTTGTGAGTGATGTTCATTACGATGCCCAATTAAACCCTATATTTGTCTGGTAATGGGTAGGCTAAATAAAACACGACACAATGAAACATCTCGCATTGGATTTGCTCAAAATTTAGGTTAATCGTTTTTTTTTCATATGCTTTCGTGGTCTTTGTTAGAACATAAAATATATGTGTAAAAATGGTCTGTAGCTAGGTTGACCTGTGACCAGGTCAAGGTGAAGGCCATTTCCATCAGGCCTCATTCCTAGCAGCCGATATCAGCAAAACATTGACAACTTTCAATGATTTTTAAGTCATTCAAAATATATTGTAGAAAATATCTGTGATATTTATCTCCAGGTGTTTTTGTGAATACGCAATCATGAATGATCAGAATGTATTCAAATATAAATATGAAAATCTGTGAAGCAAACTTTCATGACATTTCTTACTATTCTTAATAATCTATTAAGCATTAGTTCTATATTATAATGTTTCTATATTTTAATGTATTAAATGGTTCCTCGACGCTTATAGATTTAATAGTACCTCATTTTCATTCTTTACATTCCAAAGCCTTAGCCTACATACTTATATATTCTATAATTCTGTATAAAACTACTTGAAGAATGTCTAGATTTGTAGGTGATCCACAAGAATCTTTGTTTGCTATCAAAATCTAATTTGATAGTTTTGCATAACAGGACATTTCCATGCATTTCAGTGGTACATTTATAAACTGCTGCCCTTTAACTTTTTAGTAAACCACACCGAGAAACATTTGCACACTAAATTTGGCTTTTTTGTTTTAAGATCAATATAACTGTTCTCCTTGAGTGCTACTGCAAAGAGGGTTTTCGTTTAAGTTCTCTCTCCTTCATCTGGCACTGTTTACAGTATTAATAGTTTGTAGCGGAGTGAGATTAACCTCAAGGTCAATAGTCCTAAGAATCAATGCTTTCTTTATTTGACTCAGCAGGAGAGTGAAAAGGTTGGTTTCTGTAGAAATTATTTTATAGCACTTTTATTAGGAGAATTTGTGCTTGAGCTTATGTAGTGATGTGAAAATGAACACTTGAAACTAAAGTGTTAAAGACTAAAGGATTAGCTCTTTATCTCCCATCCTCCTCCTCCATGTGATAGAGAGATTCTGAAAGCGATAGCGTGAGAGAGTGTTTTGCTTTCTCCCATTTAATCTATCCATTATTATTGTGCAGTTATGTATTAATTTGAATTTTGATATGATGTATCTGACAAACATTTTTATTTTTTTTATTTTTGTGTGTGCAGTGGATGAGCAGGAGAAACGCTGCAAAGGAGAAATAACAATGAGATGAACATTTATTTCAGTCCAACAATTAATCTTCAAGAATGCGAGAGGCAGAGCTCTAGGAGGTAAAGAGAAAATTGAGTCAGAGATGGTTGAGATGAGGAACATTGGATGAGAGATATTTCTATTAAAATGTGCTCACGTGTAAGATATGTGGACAGTGCATGTTATTCATGTAAAATAATCAGCATTAATGAGAAATAAGCTATAGGCTATAAAAGTCCTGGAATTTTACTCTGTCTAGACTGTCTAGTCCATCAGTCTTTAGTGGGGATTTTTCAGTGAAACATTTGTCAAATGACCTTTTTCAGTAGGTGGCGACAATTGATTGTCTTTATGATCACTGACCATGAGTCATTGAATCATTCATTCAACCAATTTGTTCAATAACGCCGATTAATTTAGGAATAGAGCACCAGTTCTTGGAGATGTGAACTGTATTGGAACTATTTTCGTAAATAGACAAAGTAACTCGCTTGTTTATTGAACTTTTGCATTGAAGTATAGTGCAATTGTACTGTTGGTTTGAAAATCAATAACTGGACTCTTTCCTAGGACTAAATTTTGTATGCTCATTCTGTACATATTGAGATTTTAAGGAGGTAGAGCCGGTTCACACCAAGAATGAAAACTATAAAAATAACTATCGATAACTTAAATAACTATATTAACGTCTGCACCAACAGATGATTACGTTCTGTTTATTGTAAGTGTGCACTGTAATTACATCACGTGCCAGTTTTAGATGTTAAAATTAGTTAATTTCTGATTTGACCTGATTTCTGATTTTTTCACTCATTAGTTGGAAGTTATTGTTTTGAAAGTGATTCCAACTGTTTTTCCCCCTGTTATTATTATCATACAATAAAGCTTTAATAATCATTCTAATTCAATGAGAATAGGGAGGTCCAAACAACAGCTATAATGATAACGACACAGAGGATTGCTGGAATCACTTTGAGCAGATGAATGATAAAAACTTTGGTCAACCTGTGTTCATGATCTGTTGTTCCAAGTACGATGTAATTCCCTCGCCAACTAAACATGCGCAAGCTTGCTCTTATCAAAATGAGTGTGTGATAAACATACTTATACACACTATTAGTTCTATGATAAAGACTGTTGTTATGAGTTACAAGTAGCTGTGACACCATGCCAGTAGTTCAGAGGCGGTTCCTCACGGAATTCAGAATACATAGTGACCCATAGAAATAGGGTTGCAAATACCAACTACTGTAAGTTCTGTCAGCACTGGGTCATCAATGCTGCTGCAGCAACAGGCAGTCTCAAGCAAATACTGCACTCCCACATATATATATCTAAGGTAACAACACTTTATAAGCTTCCGGGGTTGAAGTGGTGCTGTCTCAGCAGCAACAGACCACAGTGTGGAAACCAGGGAGACAGAGAAGTGAATCAGGAGTGCAGTATCTGCAGGAGAGAGTTTGGCAGGATAAGGCATGTCACCATCTGAAGAAAGGCAGTCATAAAAAAAAATGTTTGAAAAATTGTTCTTAAAGGAATTTTCTGGGTTCAATACAAGTTCATTCACTAGAATTTTTGACTTGATGTTGATTTCCACAAAAAATAATTTATTTAAAGAAAAAAAAAAGGAGATATTTGGAGATTTTAAAAACAGAAATGTAGAGCTTATTTTATAAAAGCACTAACAATATTCTGACCAGGGAGACAGAGAAGTGAATAAGGAGTGCAGTATCTGCAGGAGAGAGTTTGGCAGGATAAGGCATGTCACCATCTGAAGAAAGGCAGTCATAAAAAAAAAATGTTTGAAAAATTGTTCTTAAAGGAATTTTCTGGGTTCAATACAAGTTCATTCACTAGAATTTTTGACTTGATGTTGATTTCCACAAAAAATAATTTATTTAAAGAAAAAAAAAAGGAGATATTTGGAGATTTTAAAAACAGAAATGTAGAGCTTATTTTATAAAAGCACTAACAATATTCTGTTAAAACTTGTGCATTATTTGAGCTGTAAAGCAGTTTAAATTACAGTTCCCCTTCTAGGGCACTCGCACTGCATCTCGCGGTTTAGGTCCCACTGCTGTTGAGACACGTTGTAGACTCCGATCGTGGGGTTTGCAGGTCGAGCTTGCAGAAAAGTTTAAGAAGGGTATGGCCCTTTTGAAAGCTTCTGCTGCAAGCTATAGTGCTCAGCGGGATCCAGCCACTCTTTCTATTGGGTCATCTAATTCTGCGGATAGCGCTACATTGAGCTCATCTAGTGAGAGTAATGACGTGGATGTGGTTGGCGATGAAAGTGTGAGCACTGAATCTTTCCAACCTAGCTTCAGCCCCGCATATGTGGAAATGCTGGAGGTAATGGCGTGTGCTACTAAGAGGCTTGATTTAGTCTGGTCACATGAAAGGCATAAGCCCGTCCGTGGCAGATTGGACAAGCGCTTTCTGGCTGGTCATGTCCTCCCCCAGGAGTCTCCTCTTTCTTCCCGACCTCCACACGGAGTTAGTGAGATTGTGGGACAGACCATATTTGGCTTGGCTGCATCTTTTTCAGCAAGCAGATTATGCTCATGTTTAGGGTGTGGCTGAGCGTGGATATGCGAAGATGCCCCCTGTAGAGGAGATGCTCACAAGCTATCTCTTCGAGGGTGAGTAGTCTTATTTAAAGACTCCTGCTCTGCTATCCAGACCGCTTCAGACCTCCTCGCATTTGAATGGCAGGGCGTATGTGGCAGCAGGTCAAGCTGGCGGAGCCTTGCACACAATGGCTTTGTTACAAGCATGCTTAGAGATCTAGATGAGGGCAAGTGTTTGTCCCCTGAGGCAGTTGAGGAACTGTGCCACACCACAGCCTTGGCTGCTGCTGCCATTGGGTGTGCGATAGCAGCAATGGTGGCTATGGAGAGGCATTTGTGGTTAAATCTTGCGGACATCAGGAGGAAGGATAAAGCCTTTCTTCTTGATGCTCCACTTCTGCCTTCCGGGCTTTTCTGCACTTCCATTGAGGTGGTAGTCGGAAAGTTCAGGGAGGCAAAGGTGCAGTCCACTGACGCTGAAGTACAGGCACTTGTAGCAAATGTAGCTCTGCCAGTTGTCGTTGGAGAT